AGCGCACAATTTAGAGTTTGTTGAAAATTGTTCTTTCTTATTTATTTTAGAAAAAATAATTATTTCGGACTGAAGTTCTAAATTTAGGTTAGGTTGTGTTGTGTCGTCCAAAGTTTAAATTCTACTGCGAATTTCAAGTGTTGGTTGAACAGTTTGTCTAAACCTTTCGAAAATATTTGTAAAAGACAATCTGACATCAAAGTCATTTTAACGTTTAACCGTTAACAATCAATGTAACACTAAATGCACATAACCTACTTTCTTGTTGGATAAACTTAAATTTTAGAGTTTTATTAATAATTTTATTTAAATCTTATTTATTAGTTTTGGGTTTAGTAATATTTGATTTGATTTGATAGAGATAAATAGATATAGGTAGTTTTGATTTTTCATTTATTTAGGAGAGTATTATTTTATTGATATAAGATAGAGATATATTAAGTAGATTTTATTTTAAGTTAGTTGATATTCTATTGTTAGTTTTTATTATTTGTATTTGGCCCAAGGCCCTATTTGCACCTATTTAAAGGTTGCCAAAGTTCAATGAAAAGTAACTCTAGTGAATTGAAGAGTCAAATTATTTGTGTGGGTCACATTTTCTCAACAGTGGTATGAGCCAAACATCGTGAGAGAAAAAGTGAGTGCTTGATTTTTTGAGAGAGATGACAAAGGTTGTCAATGGTATGAGTGTGCCATAATTGACGAGAAACCAATTATGATATTGTTGCCTACAGATGAAGGCGTTATTGAGATCCCAAGACGTTTGGGATATGGTGGAAGATGGGTATGTTGAACCTGATGAGGATGACGGTGGCACATATGACAGCGTTGAAGAAAACTTGTGCAAAGAGGGGTCAACATTGTATTTTATCTATAATGCAATAGATGAGTTGGGATTCGAAAAAATAGTGAATGCCAAATCACAAAGAAGCCTGGGAGATATTGGAGGTTGCATATAAGATGACAATCGCGTTAGACAAGTCTGAATACAAGCTCTCAGAGGAGAGTTTGAACAATTGAAGATGGAGCCCAAAGAGCATATAACCGAGTACTAACTCGGGTGGAGAAGGTGGCCAACCAACTTGGTAGGAATGGAGAACAATTACCATCTAGCCGGTTGTGGGAAATTTTTGAGATCTCTAAAAAGATTTCAAAAGTATCGTTCGCCATCGAAGAATAAAAGGACTTGTTGGTTCTCACAGTGAAACTTGCTGGGTCATTAGAAGCCCACGAACAAAGGAGAAGGAGTTGGGATGATCAAGTTGAACCCGACGACCAAGCACTACAGGTACAGTTTGACTCGAATAAAACTCAGATTACTCAGAGTCGGTCCTAGAGGTAGAGGGCGAGGAAGCCGATGATAAGGGAAAGGTCGGGCAGACCGGTCAAGAGTTGAGTGTTTTAAGTGTGGCAAGTACGACCACTATGCAAACGAGTGTAAATCAAGCAAAGCTACAATGTGGTAAGGTAGGTCATATTGCAAAGTATTGCAAGACCGAGACAAAGGGGGAGACGAATCTCCTTACTGAAGATGCAGAAGAACTATTGCTGGCAAAGAGCTTGGATGTAGTGGACATGGAAAGCCCAATCCCAACAATGGATGAAGTGATCTCGGTAAGGATGCAACAATTGTGGAAAAGGAGAACCTATGAAAGAACTCAAACAAAAAGATGAAGAGATTAGTAGATAGGGAGGCTTCTAGATGAACAAGGGGTTGAGCTTGAGGAGCTGAAGAAGGCGGCTCTTGAAAGGAAGAGAAAGCAGTCTACGCTCATGAACCAGATAAATAGGGAATAAGAAGATGAAGAAGAGATGAAGGCTGATGAGATTTCTACCAACTCGGTATGGTATTTAGATACTAGGGAAAGCATCATATGTGTGGAAACGAGAATTTTTTTTATAAACTCACCAAGGTGGAGGCCAAATTTATGTCTTTTGGAGATGACTCCAAGGTGGTCGTGAAAGGGCGTGGAACAATCCGACATATCCAGAAGAATGGACAAGTTGGAGAGATAGGGATTGTATGAATTAGAGCTGAAAATCTTGGAGAGAAGACGCAAACCCAGAGTGGAATGATGCACATGGAAAGCCGACCACAACTATGTTCTAAAAATATATAAATCTAGAGAAGTTGTTGAAAGTTTTTATACGAAAGAAGTTCTATAGAATGAGCAGACAAACTCTCCATTATTGAAACATGTCTTATTAGCAGTGAAGCATAAAATAAAAGGAAATCCATGACAAAGAAACCAAAGCTTTGAATAATATTTTGTTTTATTTGGGACACAGCCACTGTATTTCAATCGATAGAAGTTTTAAAACAAGTATTCGGCGCTACGTTGGCATCGCCATCACATGGGCAAAGTCATAAAAGTTCCTCTGACTAACACAAAAATTGACATCACCAACCTTCCAAATTAACAGATAGAGAAAATGGCGACCAGAAAAAATGTGTAGATTTGAATAATATTAGGCTCACGTGCGAGAGAAAGTAAAAAAAAGCAGGAGAAAAAGAAACCACTGGGAAGACCAAAGGGAAAAAGTCCACCTTCAACGGCAGCAGCAGTGGGTTTTTTGTAGCTACCAAGTGGTAGGTGTGGATGCTATAAAAAGAAGAGTGTGTAGAATACGAAGCTGTTTAGGCAACACAAATGAATAGGTAATCATAGAGTTAGACTTGTGCACAATAACATAAACAAGCATGGTTGATAACAGTGTGTTAGAGCTGAACCTTGGTTTAGGTAACAACAACAACAATAACAACGTTGTTGTTGGTGGTCATGCACATGCAGGACAGTCACCGAGGCAAAGGTGTCCGGCACCATTTCTGTTGAAGACGTACGATCTGTTGGAAGAAGGTGAGAGTGAAGATATGACAAGAATAGTGTCGTGGAATGAAGAAGGAAGTGCCTTTGTTGTGTGGTCTCCTGCAGAATTCTCTGAGCACACCTTGCCTAGATATTTCAAGCACAACAACTTCTCTAGCTTCATTCGCCAATTGAACACTTATGTAAGTTCCTAACTTCTATCACCTCCTTTACGCTTTCACATACTCTCTTCTCTCAACATTTCTCATAAGGAAAACCAACTTACAATTCTCATATTATCATATCTTTACGTTCAACGTTCAGTATTATATATCAACCACCTTGAATTTTCGAAATTTCTGATAAAAAACATTATGAAAGATCAATTTTAAGAAGGATTTTACTTATAATTTAATCTTTCGATAATTAGAGATATAGGTTTAACAAATTATAAATCTTGTTGAATCAAATGATTTTGATATAATAAATTTTTAATTTGATTTAATTACAAATAGGCTTATAAATGAATTTTTACATAATTTAATCTTACTTTTAAGTAATTAGATCTTTAACCATCAAAAATTTTATTTGTAAAACAAAAAATCGGATTATTTTTTATAAATAAGGGTAGAATTACATACTTTTATATTCATTTAACATTTAGTATAAGGATAAAATTATTATAAAATAATGATTTTTTGTATATTTTTTTTAAGAAAAAAGAGAGTAAAAAGTAAGAAAATTGTTTCTCAAAGTATATTTTATTTTCTTTCATGCTGTAGCTTTATGTTTTTTTTGTTCAAAATTAGGACGCTAGAAGGAGCTATGTATTGAAAAGGAAAAATCATAGGTTTTTTTTTCTTATTAATAGGAGGAGGTATCGTAGTAAACAAAACAATCTAACCACGTTCATTCAAATGAACGTCAAGTTAATGAATATATATTTATATTGAATATGATGGTCAAATCAGTTATTTTGAACTAAAAGTCAAAATAGTCATACCAGACGTACTTTACTGCTTCACTTGGATTAGAGCACACTTAATTTGAACATCCACAAATTTGTTGCTTATTTTGGATTAAAGAATTTTCAGAAACTTTGACCATCATCAACATTAACCTGATGACGTGGAAATAATATTTTTATGTGTTCAACGCATGCTGCTTCTACGTAATCTCGTACCACTTTACTTCAACATTCAGAATATAAGTTTAGTATCTAAAAAAATACTTGAAAACACGCAACAGTGTTATACATAGTATTTGTAACGAAATAAAATAAAAAGTTATTAATGTATTAGGTGGTTGTGTTTATTGTGAAATTTGAAAACAGGGATTTAAGAAAATGTCATCGAAAAGATGGGAATTCAAACACGAGAAATTTCAGAGGGGTTGCAGGCACATGCTAGGTGAAATCACAAGGAAAAAGTGCGAGCCAAGTGTTTTTCCTGCATACCTTAAGTCTTCTTCTGAGGAAAATGCAACGAGTTCCACAGAAGAAAACAATCAGCAACTTCTTATGGAGGAGAACAAGAACCTTAAGAAGGAGAGATTAGAGCTTCAAATGCAGATTGATGAGTGCAAAGCACTTGAAATGAAGTTGCTCGCATGCCTCTCTCAGTTTATGGACACCCAACAAACTAAAATTAGGAGACTTTGTTAATTCATATGGTTATAATTAATAGGTCCTTATGTTATCATGGATTAATAATATTTGGTTTTAATTTACCTTTCTCTTTCATTCATCTTCACACTCTTAACAAGAATATTACTAGATTCAGATTTCAGGTTGAAAGTCTCACATCAACTAAAGATAAAACCAATTTATAATATATAAATAAGTGCAAAACTCATCTTACAAGCTGATTTTGTAAGGTTGAGTTAGGTTTAATTCACTTCTTAACATAGTATCGGAATCAAACTAAAATTTATCCTTACAATATTTATTTTTTTGTTGGATATATTAGAGAGATGATGACAGCATACAAGTGATAGAACATGTGTGATTGATCACGAAACGGTAATTTACAAATATTACAATAAGTATGAGGAAAAAGAACGACTTCATTGGAGGGTGATTTTGACTCTTTTCGTTCTTGTATGAACTCTCTTCTATTACTATTACAATTACTCTCCACTTTCTTCATCTTCTTCTTCTTTGATTTCTTCATCTTGGTCGCTCTAAATACGACCATAATGATTGTTGAAGTCAAGAGAAATCTTGTCACTCATTTGCAGATTCAGGATTCAAACTTATGTGTGGGAGTTTTTCTTCTTATGGTATGATGGTTATCTGTTACCAAGATTTTTCTAAATTCAAGATATTTTTGTTTGATCTCCTGTGTCGTACTATACTTATTTTATAGCAGTTGTCTATTATTATATGATTTTTTTTGTTGACAATCCACTTTTAGGATTATTTTCATCACTAAAAAAGTTAAATTTTGTATTTATGAATACAAAAAAAGTAAAGAATAAAATAGTAAATATAAAGTGTGTGTAAAAAATTTTAAATGTGAAAAATAATAGTATTTATTTGATAGTGTTCTCTTTCTCTAACAATGTATTTATTTTATCTTTACCTAGGTAAGATAAACATACTAAATGGAAAGAAATATTTCTATGATAATTTTATGGAAGTTTTAGTTTTAAGTGATAGGTTTTGCTACCCAAACAAAATCTTATAGTAAATTTACCAAATTGGCAACGTGAGAATATTTGCCAAATAGATTAGTTTATGAACCTTCAAAACCTTAAAGTATATAAAGTGATTGCCATGCGTATTCAAAATGTAATTTCTACTACATCCGATGATGATTGAATGAATCCAGATGCAATTATTGTGGTTTTTAATTAAAAAAGATACGAGGAAAAATATATGATTTCAATTCAAAATCAACGTATAGTAATGACTGATCCACCCCATTAAAAATTTATAATTTTTCTTGATACATAAAGTAGATAACACTCATCTAACAACAATGAATAGAATTAGTCAGGGGGGTGGATAAAGGATAAGGACAAGTATGGCTAATATGCAGCCACTCCACAATACATTTGTGGTGGAACACATGACAACATGGAATTGGCACCAACTTGACATCTTCAACACCTTCTTCATCAAATTTATCCTTCCAAATTGTTTCAATTCATATGAAGGATGAGTATTTTTTTTATCAGCAATGAAGATGCTTTTGTTAATTTTGGAAATACATAAACGATAAGGATAAATATGTGCATAATAATACATGTGAGCAAGTATATTGCAGATAAAAAAAATTGTCATTTTCAAACTTAAAGATCTGGAAAAATTCAAGAAACGTACGGTGAGCACCTTTTATTATTGTATATTTGAGTTTTGTAAATGTTAGTGTGTGTTGTAGTCCATGTATAAACTTAGTGAAATGCAAAAGGATTGGAGAGTTGTGAAGACACAAGAGAAGTCTATAGTCTTTAAAATGAATTGTTTATAGAGTGGTATTATATTGACACTAATCATAATCACAATAAAGGAAATATTATTTAAGAATTTAAATATTATTTGTTCTTAAAAATTTAAGAACGAATTATTAAGAATTTAAGAACGAATTATTAAGAAGAGGTATAATAAAGGAAATATTATTTTTTAAAAGATATACGAGAAGAATTTGAGAAAGATCTTTTATAATTTAAAAAATCTATCAGAAAGTTCAAGATCAAAACAGTCTCTTGGAATCTTATAATGTTTCATGAAAAAGACAATTTAAAGAATATAAAAATCATTAGTATAATTGAAGAATAAATTTAAAAACTTAAATAATTTGTAATTTTATTTTAATTGATAGAATCTAAATTTTTGGGTGAGTCAATTTTTGTCACTGACAAGCAAGTCTGCGTAGACAAAAAATTTGCCAATGTAATTTTTTATTTTTGTGTTTTAAACTTTAGGCTTTATTTAAGGGTTTTTAGATTTTTTTAAACTTATGTACCTATATATAGAGATATAAGAAACTAATGTAAACATCTTTGAGTCAATATATAAATTTGCATTTTTGAAAAAGAATTATCTTAGTTTTTCTATTAAAATTCTTATTTTTATCAAAGATTAACATCTTTGTGACCAATCTTCACTTTAGTGATTAGTATGTTAGATAATACTCTAGTTGTATTTTTTTTGTAAAATTGTCAAAATATTATTTTTTTGCCTATAGAAGCTTATTATGCTCAAAGTTAAGGTACTACTTGCACTTTATCACTCGATGAAACACCTTTATTATGTACAATGAGATCAAATAATTGGGGTTTCACTCTATACCTCCAAGTTCCAGATTTGTCCTCTTGATTAATGAAGTTTGGTGAAAATTAAATGAAGTTAAATAAAGTGGTTGACCAACTTATTTAATAATTTTACTACTTTCTATAGTTACTTGTCTCCTTCCACCTCTTTCATTTTATGCTTTGTCATGTATAGTTTGTGGTCTTCCATTCTTGTTGGCATTGAGAGAGATTTTCATTAGAGAAGTGTGGTGGACGTGCTTATATGGTGTTGCTGCTTTCGTGGTTGACATTGGACTAGGAGAGTGATTTTGTTTGAAGTTTCTCATGTCAAACAGTTACATGGGTCTATTTGAAAGCTCCAAGTCTTAATCGGGGTCTATTTGAAAGCTCTAGGTCTTAATCGGATTTGGCAATCCGACACATACCCCATCTGATATCAAAATTCGAAAATATGTATATCGGATATCGAAATCCAATGAAGGTTAAATTGGTTTTCGAAATTCGATTTGTGTCTACTCGCATTTCCATATCTGATTCACTATTTCACAACTTGTATATACAAATCTCTCTCCTTTATCTCGTCCAAACCTTCAATATACAAATCCTAATACAGGGAAGAAGATCAACAAAGAAGAGGGTGAACAGATGCAACAACACCCAATAACCAGAACGTGATCTTCAACAAGAAGAAGTTGATCTTGAACAAGCACAATGTGATTTGTGGATCGATGGAAAAGATAAAAAAAACGAAGAAAATGAAAGAAAATTGAAGAAAACTTGGTATGAAAAAGATAGAGCTTAAGATGAGAGAGAAAGCCAGATATTTTAGTGGAGAATGAGAATCTGGTCAAAAAAATTATCTTGTTTCTATTAAAAGTTAATCATGTCTTAATAGAGGACATTACAAATATTTCAGAAAATTTTAGAGATGCAAGATGAAATTCTTGGAGGTATAGGGTGAAATCCCAAACTAAAATACACAACTTTTGGAAGGCTAAAGCACACTAAATAGTTTGGCTTAAAAAGATATTGAAAACAACATTCTAAATTTAATCATTATGGGTCAAATAATTCAAATAATAAAAAGTTGTAAACAATAACTCTTGAAAATACTAAAATTAAAAGTTGTAATCAATTATTTTTCAACTTTTAAGTAGAAGGTCAATAAAAAGAAAACTTTACATTTAACTTCTTAACTATATCTTGTGTGAAATAAATAATGTCTTTTAATCAAATTTTGTTGTAAAGGTTAGTGTCTCTCCCATAAATGTCAAAACTACAAATAAATTATTTTTACCCGTGATTTTCCAAAGAAAGTGTCCGGCTACAATTGCAAAGATATGATTGCTCAGTCTTAAATATAACAGGCAAGTAACTTCCTGCAAAGATATGATTGCTCAGTCTTAAATATAACAGGCAAGTAACTTCCTGAGTTAGCATCTTCGCCAGCACCAAACTGAGGTTTACAAAACAGGTTGGTATCAATTGAATTCAAAAGGATTAAAATCCACCGGAGATACAAAAACTAGCAGTCAGATCACTGACCAAAAGTATCTAAAAAGGTTGAAATTTTCAACAGGAAGAAACACTAGCATTCATATCACTGACGACGTATATAAAAGTAACCCATCTAGATTGTTAGACAATGATATCAGACCACATTTCCTGACACCCGGTTCAACTGCCATATATGTTGTCAATCAAACTTGTTCTAAAACCAAATACCCACCAGATGGAACCAGAAAAATCCTACTAGATAAGGTCGACTTCAGCTCCCCATTATTTCTCAGCTCCATCACAATGTCGTGACCACCAATCAGCTCACTTTTGTAGTAGAGCTGAGGATAGGTTGGCCAATTTGAGTATACCTTCAATCCCTGTCTCACATCCTCATCACTTAATATATCAAAAAACCCAAAATTCAGGCCCTCCTGTCGAAGGGCATCAACAACTCTGGAACTAAAACCACATCTTGGTACATCTGGGGTACCCTTCATGAAGAGCATCACAGGGGATGAGGCAATCAATTTCTTCAGTCGATCATGAATGCTCTCTGCAGGAATAATCCCTTTCTCCTGTAAACTTTTCTTAAGTTCTCCGCTTTTATGCATCTCCAACACAATGTCTGATCCCCCAATAAGCTCTCCTTTGATATACAGCTGAGGATAACTGGACCAGTTTGAATAAACCTTAAGCCCTTGACGGACTTCTTCATCAGTAAGAATGTCAAAGCTGTCAAAGGGTACGCTCTCTTGCTGGAGAATTTCAACAACCTTCCTACTGAAACCACACTTTGGTTCATCTGGTTTTCCCTTCATAAAGAGCATAACTGCATTAGAATTTATCAGACTTTCCAGTCGAGATGATAAGCCAGTACTCAAATTAGTAGATTTAGATATCCCGCCT